CGTTCCACGGAACTGGCTCGGAGGGATGTGAACATGGATCCAATGACCCGTGAAAGGCGTTCAGAATCTGAATTCTGCCCACTCTGGATTGGTCTGAATTCTGAATCCCCAAGAAACCAACATCTTTTGCTGTGGATGTTTGCAGCTGCAGAAACAGATCGACCGAACTCTGGGAAAGGTTGGGAAGAAACCAGCACGCACGCAAAATGCGGAGGTCGTTGTGGGTGTGGGTGTGGGGTGTATGATTGCAAGTCCGTTTTTTGAACACAACCGATACGGAAATGGTGCCAGGGTGGCACAAAAATCGCCTACTTACCTTTGGACCGTTTTGGTGGTGACTGTAGGTCATATTTACTGATACCGAGGCCATCTCTTTCAGAAGGTTCGAACCAACAAACGAGCGAACATGTCCAAGAACTCGAACTCCAACAAAAATGGATACCTGCCCCAAAGAGCACACCTTCCACAAACAAAACATAGCTCCACCTCGGACTGTTGGCTGTAGATCTCGACCACCAGCAGCACGTCCCGCATGGCGTCCCGCAGCAAATCCACCTCGCTTCCGGTCCCAAGAGCCGGAGGGAAGAAAAAAGAAGATCCATGTGACTCTCCTCCATTTGGAGATGTTGGACTATCCACCGGGGTAACTACAGAACCTAACATTGGACGGACTTGAGAGATGTTCAGCAAAACACATCGTCTAGATCATCATGCAGCCCGCCCTGATTGGAAACAATGAGAGGGGCGGCGGTTGGATATCTCGTCCCTTTCTCTCCGCTCGAAATGGTTTGGATGATTTGAATCAGTCCGCCCTGTCGGCAGAGGACGAGCACCTCAGGTTTCCTTCAAGCTTTGGTTTCCCTCTATCAACCTCCATCACAAGCAGAAACCTCCACCATCCCTCAGCTTCCCTTCCAGACTTGACCGTCTTGACCCCCACCCACATTTCGTTCACCCAAGTCCTCACCTTTTTGGATGAACATAAACAAAAAAAACCTCCCAGGGCTGGGGGTGGACCATCCTAGGTCAATCATCACTCTCAGGAGCTCCGAAACCTCCCAGAAGCCACCGCAGCCCGGGCCGAAGCACCGCAAAAACCGCCGTTTTCTCCCCCCGCTGGAGCTTCCCGGCGGTGTCCGACCTGCCGAGAAGACCGTCGTACCGGGCGAAGTGCTCCAGACCCGGGTAGGGTGAACGAAGCCCCGGGGGTAGCGGTGGATTGGACCTTCGGGGTGGGGAGACACCACCGAGTTCGGGTTCGGTTCGGTTCTGAGCCTTGGTACTCCAAGTGGCCAGGTGCAAAGGGCTTTTGTAAAACGGCTCGGAAGCAAAACATGCTGATCCTCAAGCAAAAGAGGGTATGGGCACGGAACAAAAGATGGCGACTAACTATTGTGGTGTCACATGCACCAGGACATTCAAAGTGACCTCTTTGGAGTCTCTAGGTGACCTCTTTAGGGACTGAGTGACCTCATTCTAGGATCTCAAAAGGTCACTTTGAAGGTCCTGGCAGAGCATGTTGTTGAGGTGAGTGAGAGGACTGCCGGCTGCTCAGCTTTTGGGCTGTGTCAAAGGAATGGAAACGTGACATGTGTTTCTTCCTCTACGTCACTTGTTCAAATCCTTTTCTGGTATATATTTGCAGTGTTTTCTGCGGGTGCATGCCTATGTGTTTTTGGGAAGATCAACGTCTCGTCGTTTGCGTCAGGCGCCCAGTGGAATACATTAAACTCCAAAAGTTCTTCGAAGAACCTCCAAGATATGTTCTCCTCGTGCTCCATGGAATCTCAAGACCCTCGTGTGGCGCCTTTTGACCTCGTCGTCTTGGTGGATGGTTCGTAGGTACAAGGCATAGGAGGCTCCAAGCAAGTACCGCGAAAGGACCTGGCGAAGTAGTCAGACAACGACGGACTCAACAGGACCTGGATCCGGTGCAGTGGATCGGTCGGTGTTCGAGGCTGAGCTCGAGATGATTCTTTTTCCTGGGTGCATGTACGGATGTACGGATGTGCTTGTAGCAACAGTATCAGTCCTGCCGATATCCAACAAAAGAAACATGCAGTATATAATATATAGTAGTAGGATGGACACCAAAATGGTCAGCATAACGGGCTCTATTGTAATTTTTGAGGGTCATGTTACTCATCTTCATTACACAATGGACAGTCTCAAAAATTTGAAAAGTTGTCCCTTAGCTATCTATTATATAGTGAATTTGGCCTTCTTCTACAACCGGTTTAAAGGCCCAAAGACAATGCAAGAGATTGCAAGAGCTGCACCGTGCGCACGCAAAAGGAAAGTGACAGCTGGTTGAAAGGTTCCCCAAGCTCTCAACTCTCCACGTGGTCTCAGAACTCAACTCTTCAACTCACAACGCCACCAACTGTTCAGCCCCAGCCTGTCACATGTCCGACCTGGCCCCCGCATCTGGCAACATCTTTCAAACCAAGGCCCCGGGCCGCGACCTTCCGTGCAGGTGCTTCGCCCAAGACGTCCTTCCTTAGAGCGAAACGTTGCGAAACGGGGCGGCCCAGGCAGATGCGAAGGCATTTCTTTGGCTGAAATCATGCGCTGCCCCCCCACCACCTGCACTTTAGATGGTCATCTTCGAGTGAATCGTCGCAAAGAGCAGAAAGAGTGGAGCGGGTCTGGGTGCCCCTGGCCGTTGGACCTCGGACCGCAGCTGCTTCGCGCGGTCACAGTAGCGGTAGAAGACCTGCCGAGAACCGCGCGCGGCTCACGTCTGCGCGCGCGGGGGAGGAGCGCCGGTCGACCGGTCGGCCTCAGTGCAACAGACCGAACCCGCTGTGTGGAGCGCCACCCAAGCTACTTGCACAGAAGACAAACTTGTGTCCAATATGTGCAAGTTACCCGGCCTTCCCTCATTGGGGCACCGGACTGACTCAACTTCGAGCGAGGGGAGGGACCACAGCAAAAGCCTTGTTGGATTTCTACAGTGGGTCAAGGAATCTGACAAATCCTGTGAACTTTATAGGAATCCTACGGGTTTTGGATGTGCTCCCTGAATTCGAAAACTTGGGATCTGAATTTTTAGTGTAACCACGAGACCCAAAAAGGGGACTCTCCAACTCGAAGAGCCAAATAATCCAACTTCGCTACTGAATCTGTTTCCCAACTACCCCTCCTTAGGTTGATGAATTCCCTCCTCCTTTCCACCGCCACGACACGCAAGGAAAAAATTCACCACAGCCTAAAAGTCAAAGGCTATAAAAGAATTGTCCTTTCATGTCTTTTCAGTACCTGAAAGGGAATTTCCTTTACTTCACTGATCAACATATCGCCGAGTTCGACTTCTAGCGGCACTGTTTCAGGGGTCCACCTACTCACTAGCAGCCTACGCCTGACCATGACATGCTCCAGCTACTCCACCCAGTGTTTTCTGCAGACCGCTGCCCAGTCCGCCTCCTGATAGGCCAAAGTGTGACGCCTTAAGGCGATCAGCCGCTCGCCACAGCGGCAGACCTCCGGTGGCGCGACGGGAGGTGCACCCGGCGCGTGCGGCACCCAAGTCGAGGGGGAGGAATGGAACAAAGAAGATCGGTCCAAGGAGAGGTGGTTGCGAGTTGTGCAACTTTTGCGAGTTGTGCGAGTGAGTTGTGCGAGTTGTGGAAGCAGATCAAACAGCAAATTTCCTGCAAGCATTCAATCTTTCCAATTGCCAAGTCGACTGGGTCGACTGTGACAAGTCACGGCCTGTTCTCCGAGCTGAACCAGTGGTCAGGAAGTTTTCACGTTTTCACTGCTGCTTTGCACATCAAAGCCACCAACTCTAAACCCATCTCAAAACGATGTTCAGAGCCAAAACATGCCCAAACCCCACCCATCCAGCCTCCAAAAAAAGAAAACTTGTGTTTCCCTCAAAACCCTGCCACCCACCGGTGGCGGAACTTCGTTGCGCAAACCGGACAGCTTCTTCTCCGCTCCGCTTCCCCCCGAGGACGCTCGCTCGGACTCGGGATCCCGGACGGACTCGCAGAAGTCCACGTTATCCACTCGGAGCCGCCAGGCCTTGGCGAAGGCCTCCAGACCGCGTGTCGGAGAGGTGAGGGAGAGGTGGCGCGGTTTTCACGGCTGGTGGAGGTTGGAAGGGGGACAGGCTAGGGCTAGGCTCACGGAGGAGTCCATTCTTGGAAACCCGAAATCCGGAGTTCGGGTGCCCGAGACACTGGGAGACCGACTATAGGAACTGGAAGAAAAGACACTCGCTCTCTCTCTCTCTCTCTCTCTCAAGGTGTTGTCCTGCTCGAAAAGGACCAGGTTCTTGTGGGGACCACCGTGAAAGACCTTGCCAATCGCCTCCCACGAAGCGGAACGACCTTTTTCGACCGAAAACCCGGGAACGGGGAACGGCCTTGGCGAGCTCGCTGCTCCACTGGAGCACCTGGCTGGCCTGTGGAGGCCTGACGTCGCACCGCGGGTGGACGTCTTTTCTCGTCTTTCGCGTCGATGCAGACGAGCGGCACCGAAGTACGACTCGGGGGTCAGATCAAAAGAAGTAGAGTTCAAAGACGAGATAAAACATGGTAAACACAATACAGCAGTACCTGATTTTTCGGGAACTTCCTTTACTTCACTGGGTCAAGATATACAGTAGTCTTTTGACTTGTGAGGTAAAGACCGTTTTTTTTTAACATCGTCAACTGTCTGTCCGTACATCGCTTAGCTGTGCCTATGGATGCAGCGAGGCTTTTGGACGGCAGAGCATCAAACCGTCGACGGGACTTTGAGGGAAAGGCCTCTGAAAAATGATTTCAGCGAGAACTGTCCTTGCTGCCCCAGAACATAGTTAGGGTCCGACACTGACGCTGAAGAAGGCCATTCGCGACTCTCGTGACACAAATACAGTGGTTTTGGATGTGGATATTCCACTTCAAGCAGGTTTTTGATATAGATCTCACTACCATCCTCACAAAAATATCAGGAACCTGCTTTGGAAGCAGTGCATCTCTGACCATCTGCCTGTCCGTCCGTGACCCATCTATTTTTCTCCGCAGGACCTGTAGGAGCTTAAAAACAAGCCTCCACAGAGGGCCGGGCGTCTTCTCAAAGCCTATCTACATGAGCCAGTTCTCGTGCATTTCTTGGAAAGTCTCGTGGCCAAGAACGCAGGCTCGCTCTGAGAACTGATGGGCCAGCACTCTCGGCTGCTTTGCTCCAGGCCAGCAGCGAGCTCCAAGCCATGTGAAACATCAAATGCTGATTGCAGCCCGGATGAGCCACAGAGATCGTGAGGACACCGACGGCACACTTCGTCCTGGCCACTTGCAAACCCAGTCCACACCAACCAACTGTTCCAATACAAGGCCTGGGATTGGGGAGTTCCATCCGTTTGTTTCTGGTTGAGACTGGGTTTCAAGGTGCAAACCATACAATGTTTGGTGCCAGCAGTTCCAAGAAGGTGCTATCCATGAAGGTCGGATAGGGGTGCGCCTGTCACATCCACGGCCCCTGGATGGGATCCCAAACCACCCTTTGTTAACTCCTGGTAGAAGTGTCTTCGAGGCTGGTGACGTCGCCGATTTGAAGAGAACATGCCGAGTAACATGTCCGCCCACACCGAGACGAAAATGAAAAGACTTCGCTTCACCGAGACGCTTGGTACAGTGGGGTGTCATATGCTTAGTAAAATGGAGATTGTGATCAGTGGTTGTTTGTACGTTTGTAGTTGTCTTTCAGAGTCACTGAACTGGCAGATGAACGGCAGTTCCTAACATGTTGGGCAGATCAGGACCATGGCTAGCGGCTAGCACAAGTCACCACCAGTCAGGACAAGAATTGCAAATCACCTCACATCTGTGACAAATCACCTCACATCTGTGACATACACAGATACTTTCTTGAATGATCGGGTGTTTATGGGATCCTTCTAACCAGCTCCAGCATTAACTTGCCCACTCTCAGTGTGTCAGTGTCAAATGATGTCCAATCCAAATCGCATCTGTCCCCAATCATCCCATCCATCCCATCCCCAAAGACCCCGCAGTCCTCCTTCTCGGCCGTTCATCGTTCATGTGGCTATAGATAAAGGCAAGGTGTTGCGGGCTTTCTTTCGCTCCACCGTCACTTGAGATCCGTCTGCACGATGGGCTTCAAAGCGCAGCAAAAGCTTCACGAGGTTTTTGTGCCCCATCTTCTCTGCAACGTCCAAAGCCGTCTCATTGAAAGGTGTCTCTTGATTTTTCTCAGCACCAGCCTTTAGCAACAGCTCTGCAATCTCCACATAGCCAAAAGAAGCAGCGAGATGTAACGGTGCAAATCCCTGGCGACATGTGCCGGTATCGACCTTGGCGTTCAGAAGGCATGCCACAACTGCTTCACTACCGTTCTCCACGGCCAGATGCAATGCGGAAGACCCATCCTTGGCGGCATGATCTTTGTCAAGCCCCGCCTCCAGCAAGAGCTGTGCAACTTGAGCGTGGCCATTCCAGGCGGCCAAATGCAACGCGGAAGACCCCTCCGAGGTGATCTGGTGTTTGCCTGCTCCAGCCTCCAACAACAGCCGCACGACCTCCAGCTGGCCCTTCTCGGCCGCCACATGCAACGCGGTCTCCGACCAACTGGCGCCTGCGACGTTGTCGATGTCCGCCCCGGCGTCAAGCAATAAGCGCACCATGTCACAGTGCCCGTGCTGGCAGGCCAAATGCAAAGCTGAGAGCCAATGTCTCCCCCCAACCTTGTCTTTGTCAGCCCCAGCTTCCAGCAAGAGGCGTGCCACTTCATGGTGCCCTTGCTGAGCTGCAATGTGCAAGGCTTGCTGGCCATTCGTGTCTTCCCTGTCCACCGGAGCTTCAGCTTCAAGCAGCAAACTTAAGCATTTCCAATGGCCATGGAGCGCTAGAGTATGTAGGAGCCCCTCTGCGTCGCCCGGATTCACACGCTGCGACAGGAGCCGTTCGACCTCCTCTAAGCGATTCTCCGTGCAGGCCTTTTGCAGCTCTTGGACGGGTCCTTCTTCCGGCGGAAGAAAATGCAGAATCAATAGCTGCACACGATCAGAGGACGTCCAGCTGAGATCTTCCTCACCCAATTCACGTTGATCTTCGTCAAACCACCTTTGTCGATACCTTGAGACGCCCAGCTGCTTCGCCACCTGTGCTTGCAGGGACTTCAGATCCTGCACGTCTTCTGCCCTCAGGGTGAGAAGCTCTTCACCCGAGACCAGTGAGCAAATGCTGAGCATGTGAGCACCAAGCAGCCCAAGGCCCGAGGAATGGATCAAATCTCTGCTTTTCTTTGCTACACCGAGCCAACAGATCTCTCCGAACCCGTTCGCCCGTTCGTGGTTGGACTGGACACCCCGCATCAATCACCTCAGGCAGAGGCCATAGAAATAGACACCTCTTGGACGGATTCGGTCCTGGTGAGTGTCTCCCAATCAGAGATCCCACATGCTCCCACATGGCCCCCCACAGCCGTGGGGTTTCCGGCTGACCGCCACGACCGCCACTCACGGTGACCCATCGCAGTTTGGTTGACCCGAAAACACCGCTCTGGACCCCAAAAGAAGCACCGGCCTGCGAAGATTATGAGTCATTCCGATGGTCTCTTCTCTTCATGTCTTGTCCAAAATACATACAGACTCAGACAAAAGAATCCTTATTGGGATGTGTAACAACTTGATCCGAGTTTGGTGGCTCCCTCAAATCCACAGCCTGCCAGGCTGACTAGAGGGACCGCTGCCGACGACTCTCGGTTCGGAACCCTTTCCGTACCTCGGCACCTCGACCGCATCCACATCTAGTCCTGCATGGGACGGGGGTGAAGTGAGACAAGGGGCGGGCGCCGGAGACAACGTGCTTTTGGGTTCAAGATGCGAAAAAGGATCCTTGTGACACATGACTGGACCTCATGTCAATGTGGTGCTTCTGTTTCGGGAGTCCTCGCACCTCTTCTAAAGTTCTAGGCTCGTCTGCTAAACGAGAAGCCGATTCTTCTCCCCGTCGCAACAACCCATCCTTGTTCGGGTGACCATTTCTGGGGAGACCATCTCCTGTGGCTCCGGAAGCAACTTCACCATTCCAAAAGACCACATTGTTGGCAGTGACCGGGCTCCCAAAAGCTGAGTGGTTACAGTGGTTACAGTGTTTTTTCCCTTGTACCATAGTACACCATAGCCTAAAAGGAGAACAAAGAAGGTGCTTAGGGGCCCAAGGCATCCCAGGATCGGGCCTCTTCCTTGGCTTTTCTTGGCCCCCTTTGGATTGGAGCCATGAAGGACGTTCGATTTGGACCTGGAAACCTTCCTTTGTCCCTGGCCCCTCCTTGGACTCGTAGTTGTTCAGCCATCTTCTCCTTCTCATCTTCACCTGCGACCGGAACTGCACCGCTTTTCGACTCGGCTGGGTGAAGAATGCCGCACCCCGTGTCATCCGGTGAACCGAGAAGACCGAAGTCGAAAATGGGAACGACCTGCTTTTGTATTAAGAAGTGCTTCGTAAAACAAGGGTTGTTCGGGATTCAGACTATTAGATCAATCCTAGGTAAATTGAAGACTTGGAGACCTCCCATGAAATTGTGGATCTGCCGCACTCTTTTTCAGGGGTCTCAGAAAAAGGATAGGATTCAGAACAAAAACCTTTTGAAATCTGTTGAAAACTCTTGTCACACCCCTGGAAACTCCCACAAAACATCGAAGTATCAAAACATGCTCTGACGACCCACCCGGTGCCCCACTAGTGAGTCCGTCCACTTCGGAGAAGGATCCTTTCCGACCCATCCGATGGGATCCTTCCTCATATCGCACGATCCTTCAAAGGCAAGAAAACCATGGATGGCTGAGGACCTGGAAGAAGTGTGCTGTCAAAGGACACCTTGAAGGTAGGATGCTCTCGAGGATTGTGGTACATACACCACCACAGAAAACGCTTTGTCACGCACTTTCTGAACAGCGACTAATTAACCTCACAACCAAAAGGAACTTCCAAAGAGGGACATCCCCAGTTTCCGTCTCACCGCACCGATGCCCAGGAGCATGTCGGCCGTGAGCGGTGCCTGGAGGCTGAAGGACTGGGTCCAGGTGGGTGTGGACCCGGAGTCCTAGGGATTCGGTGTACGGTGGGTGTGTACCCTAGGGATCCGTTCCGTCCCTGAGGGTTCGGTGTGCAATCTAGGGACCCGTTTTCGTACCCAGGTTCGGTCTCCCACCATGGACCCCACTGGCTGGCACCATCTCATGTCTCAGTGTCTCCCTGCTCACCGTGAGAAGGTATGAATGGATTCCTGCACATCGCGATGCGCAGCACGCCACGACTCGTTGGCAAGGCGGAATAACCTTCCAAGAGGTGTCTATAAACAGCCTCTTACAGGTCAAGAAGTGCCCAAAAACGGGCGTGTCGGACGTCCATGTGGCTTGATCACACTCATTTCATCAGCAAGGGTGACATCAGCTGCAAGTGAAACTGCACGGGCAGGGGCAAATGGAAAGCAACACCAAAGTGCAGCATCAGTCGGGTGTTGAACATGTTCTCTTGGGACACCTGGGACACATGAGCCTCGATGCTTCATGACCTAGAAATTCGCTTGCCAAGGTCCCATCTTTGGTCGACAGAACACTACAAGGAGCTCCTGTGGTTCTTATCGGGGAGTGACCGGAAAGCCAATCGGCTGGAACCTTCGGTCTGCAAAGGGCGTCTAGCTGGACCCTCCACGTCTCTATTTCCGATCGGTTGAACGACGGACGGGTCGGCCGAACTCACGGAGCGTCGACGGGCACGGTTTGGCTGACCATGTCACTCTGAGTCCGCGAAAGAGACTCCCCGGTGTTGCATCTGCGGCCATCCCAAGTCCCAGCCTGGATCCGCGGGGTCGGACCTTCTCCCTCGATTAGCTCTAGACCCTTCAGCAAGACCCTTCACGCAGGTTGCCCCGATTCTGGCCTCTGAGCTACCAATCTTCGACTCCGAACCTCTGCCTTCCCAACACCGGTCCTCCAGCGTCGACCGGTCGACGCCGCCTGGGCTTCGCTTCCATCTTTCAGCTTGGCCAGGACGTACCGCCGCTCGACGTTCCGGGAGCCGCAGCCCTGAGCAGGGGGGGGGAGCAGGTCTGCGGACGGTCTGGTGCTTTGGAACCAAATGAAGCAGGGATGGGTCCACGTCAATCACCTCATCCAAAATCGCACCCACCCAACACCAACAAAAGCACCATCGACCCATCAACCCTTCGTCCTTTCCCTCAGACCCCCTGCCCCCGTTGACTTCGGCTCCCTTGGTCTCCCGTCACGGCCTGTCTCAGGCTGAGTCTCTGGATGTTTCGATTCTGGCGCCATCTGATTTTTCGGTTCCACGGGCGTTAAAAAAACAAGCAAGGAGGCGTTCATTGGTGAGCCACCTGGCGTGTTTCCTGAACATGCTTTTTAGGCGGATGTCTATTTCGGTTGCGGATGTTTATGTGGTTCACAGACCTAAATAAAGGTATGGTGAACTACCGAGCAAAAAGTAAAACATGAGGTTGCAGGTATATAGACCCTAAATCGATAGAAAAGTGGATCCCCAGTAAAGTTGTGTTTCAAACCGTGAGGGGATCACATTTTCAGCCCCTAATCCATTGTCCCCGCCGTGTCCCCCCCATTCACCACCACGGTGCTGGGAGAACCTTCCCCTTTGGCGCCCGGGCGGAACCGGGCACCGGCACCGCCGTCACCGAGCTCAGGATCTGATCCAACTGTTCGTCGAGCTCCTGGAGGACCGGTGGCGTTCGGCCCAAACGATGCCGGGTCATGAGAATCATCCGGGGAAATTAGGAGTTCTTCTCATGGATGATGTGCAAGAAACCTCCAGCTGGAGAGCAAGAACGGTGATGTGCATGGGAAAAAAAAAAAATGGACCCTAAGCTCAGCGCGGGAGGATCTCTATGTAGACCTCCCTGGTGTTTTTTCGTCCCGTTTTCCCAATCATCTACAGTAAGACCTTGGGTCAACAGGAGGGGCCACGACGCACCCGTTCAACCCGGTTGAACCTCGGAGCCTCGTGCCTCGTGTCGGAAAACGAGGCGTTTCCATGTCTCTCAGCAACGGCGCAGCGTCCAAATTCGGACCCACCCCAGTGGTCGGACATCCTCCATGTCGACCAGGGCATGTAGCGAATGATCCAGTCGAATTATCGAAGTTCTTTGGTGCCACAACAGGCTGCCGAATTGAGCCGTCTCAACATGCGGACCGCCGTCTCAATTTGCGGCCGCAGTGCTTCAAGACCTCGCAACCAAACACAAGTTCATTGGGCCAATGAAGTGAATCTTGCATCTCTTTGCATGCAATATCCAATGATGTTGTGAAACAATAGCAACACCTGGAGCCAAAAAAAAAGGGCATAGATCCTTACAAGTTCCACAAAGCGCATCATGCAACTTTTTCTCGAACACGCGGTGTCGCGCCCAAGGTTCCCTTTGCACCCATTGTTGCACATTACTAGTCTACCAAGTTTGTCTGATGGAAACCTCTCCACACGCATGTAAACACAGATGCACTTCTCGAATAAAGACCAAAAAAAAGTAAAACGGTAAAACATCAACCTGAAGAAAAAGGGTCAGCAGTCAGCAGCATGAACCCATGTTCACAGCCAGAAACGATAGCGGCGTCAACACATGCACTCTGCAAGTGTTGCGTCTGCAAGCTTTTTGTTACTACCTTCGTGTCAGCGGGATTTAACAACCGCGCAAAGGGTTTCATATCTAACTGTTCTTGCGGCATTTATGCACGAATTCCACACAACCTTCTAGTTTCAACAGTTCCAGCCGTTGGCACCACCCGTTCGCGACCAATGTGTTTTGCTGCACTGTTAGGTCCGTGTCCATGGTAGTAAGCCTCGGGCGCCGAGGTCTCCACACCACACCATGTACACAGGTCATCATGTCAAGAAAGGGCCACGTGCAAACGCGTGGTGCCATGTGAACTCAAGTCAGTTGTTTACTGCAGGCCTCTCTCTAGCATGCAAAAACAAAGAACTAACGAGAATTATAGATAAAATCCAATGTGTTGGTTGCTGTTCTTCTTTCAGATCACACCTGTCTTTGTTTTTTTCCTTGGCAAAACAAAGCGACAACAAAGCACATGGGCCCCTGTACGCCGGTCCTTCCAGCACCTGCGCACACCTACGAAGAGGTGAGCACCGTCAGCTCGTGTGCACCGGCAAAGCGAGGGAACGAAGGGTGCGGAGAACTAGTGCATGCAATCCTGGGATTGAACATGAGAGGGAACATACCTTACATGTTTTGTGTCCTTCCGTTGGATCCATGAAAGAAATACTCAAGTTGAATGAAGAATCGGATCCTTCCCCAAGTCCTGTCCTCCAGGTTCCTGCTCCCAGTTCAGTTCTTCCAGTTCCGCCAATGTTTTAACCCAATCAGTGTTGAGCGCGGCATCACAATAAGCGGAAGAATGTATGTCAGTCAGTTGTTGATCATGTGAATGGCCTTTAACCGGAGGCTTGCGACAGAAAAGGATGTTTTGGAGTCTCGAAGGGGTTCGGTTTATTTGCATATCTTGATGGACCATTTGTCGCTGTTGATTCCACACACCATGAAGAAAAAAACATATAGTCCCGCTCAGCCACCTTCAGCCGTGCCACCCGTTGCTGGAACAATCTCCGGTCTTTTGTATTTGGCGAGCCGGTGTGTTTGTGGAGGTAGCCGTTTTTCTTGGGAAAACTAATTTTGCTGGATGGTTGAACTCTGTTTTA